GAATAGATCTTTGATAGTGATAAGATAATATGTTGCTCCGCGCTCCGATACCACGGCCCCTCGAAAATATAAGACGAAGATACATTACTAGAACACTAATCCTCTTTGATGTGATACTGCAGTGAAACCACTAGGGAACTTCCTTGGAACAAGATTTGGCTTTGTAATGGGAGAGCCTATCCGCGTGAGTGGTTCGTGCCGAAGCACCTTCATAAAGGTGCGCGTCGAATCCCCTTGGATTCACGTGTCTGTCTGGGAATTCGCTCGATGTTAACCAGTCGGTGCATATTAATTCCGAGGGATGGAATATCTCGATCTTTGAAGAAGCCAGAAAGGGAGAGGGCTGACGGTGAGAGGGAGGCGCGCGCGCGCGGGGTATAGCTGAACTGGCGATAGAAGCGGATTCCTCTTCCTTTAAGGTACCTCACCGACGATCCTGGGATTTCTTCGTTCGTAGGAATTCTTAAGATCAGTCGGGGGAGAAGAGAGGATTTTCACGAAAGGGGTGGTGAGACGGATGTCTCGTGCGAGCGGGTGAAAAGGAAGGAGTTATTAACGATTATCGAGCTCTTCATTTCGGCTGCTACTAGCATTTCACTCTTTCCACTCACTCTCTTTCACATCCCATTGCCTCGTAAGCAAAACATTATCGTCTTCCGCATGATTAAACGCAGACTGCTGTATTAGGAAAAAATATTCGTACGCTAAAATTCGAGATATTGGAACGCGACTCCACGTGCTCAGCGAAAATACACGAATATATTATGCACTGCGCAGACACATGCGATTTATCTGCGTTTTGCGTTTATATACACCTACGTGCGTTTACATTATACGGTGCGGCGGTGGCGGCGGCGGCGACGGCGGCGGCAGCAGCGGCAGCGGCAGCGGCGGGCCATTCGGCGTTCGACTATGGGAAGTCGGGGCTGTAATTTGATTTCGTTAATGACATCCCGCCGTTGCAGCGCGATGTCGTAATTTTTAATGAGCCTTGTGGGCCGATTAGGGAGCCAAGTATTATTAATGCGGCCGAAGTGAAAGTTCTGATGATACGATTCGGCGGATGCGGGGCCGAATTGCGCCACCGATTAAAATCGCCCGATTGAGCATGATTACGTGCGTTGATCCAGATGTAACAATATCACGTGCGCCGCCGCTATTTGGATATTAATTGGCTTCGAAGTCCTTCCTTGAGTTGGCCGGCGAGGGCTGATTGTTGGAAGAAATTGGATACGCGCGAGCCTCAGACATTAAAGTTGGAACGGCGGTTAACGTTAAAATATTCGACAGACGTCGCTTAAGTTATTAATCTGTTCCGCTTCGTATACGTGACAGACATGATCGCGAAATCTAGCGTAATGTGACACGTGACACGGATAAGGAGACATAAAGATAGGGATGAAAATACTTGTACTTAAATTATGTGGACGCAAGGATTTAATTAAAATAGAATTTAGACAGGATTAAGAATATATTATTTATACAAGATATCGTGTCACACCGTCAGTAAAATTCTAATATAATATGACATGGACGTAGAATGGATATGAATGGCTTTTTCATGCGGGTAGATAACTGAAAGACTGAAATTACATTGAATATTGTAGAACACCATAATTATTGTACGCAATAAAATATATACAACATATAATTAGATAACGTGCAAAGTACATTCAAAAAATATTTTTACGATATTTTTATAAAGTATTGAGAAGATTTGAAAAGAGCGTATTAGCACAAATTATGCAATTGAATTCATAGTTTTTAAAATTTATTTTACTATTTTATGTCACTGTTTAATATTTCGAAGTAATATCCTATGTTCTTACATCATACACATTGCAAATTCAAAACAGTTTTGTTTTGCCGTTTTAAGAGTGATTTGTTCGGCAGTGCTACAGACACTTTTCCAATGGATGATCCGCATTTACGAGCTACTGAAGCTTCATCGCGTGTAACCATAGCTACGCTTAATACACACACACGCACACACAAATATATATATATATATATATATATAATATATATATACAGAAAAGTTATGCCTCTCTCTCCTCTTTGGCGTACGTGGAAACTCGGCGAGGTTTTGCTGCGTTACATTCACTACGTCTTATTTATTGCCTCTCCTCTCTTCCGTGCCGGAGGTGGAGAGGACATCGGAGTAGAGGGCCCCCACTCATCCACCTTGCACTTTCATAAGCCTGGACTCGTCTCTCTCGTGCATACGTAATCAGCCGACGGAAAGAAGCTGCTATACCGAGATAAAGTCACAGCCACAGCGAGCGCGAGAAAGAGGAGGAGGAGGAAGAAGTAGAGGAAGAAGGAGAAGAGACGAAGGAGAAGAAGAAGAAGGAGATGGGTTAGAATGAGATAGCGAGAAGAAGAAAGATGTAGGCACGAGCAAGAAGGAGAAGAAAAAGAAGAAAGAGGATGATGAGGAGGAAGAAACGGAGGCAGGAGGGAACCGAGCTTAGTCAAATGCACGCTCCAGGGGCTCTGCATAACTTGTCGACTGCAGTCCTTCACTCTTTTGTTTCGCCTACTTGCCCGATCTCTCGCTCGGCCCTTATTCCTACCTTATCCTCTTCATCGTCGCTCTCCCTCGGCGACATCGTCTTTAATATGATTGGAGTACTATGTCTCGGGAATATCGAACCCTACTTAAGGAAACCGCTTTAAGATCGCGGGTTCTGATTACCGCCTTCGCTCTGCTATCAGTATTGTATTTCGTAGAAAATATTACGACCGTGAGCGCTGCGCTGTGATTTCTAGCGAAGAGCTGTGATCTAATATGAATGAAATAGAAACTTGGCGAGCTGTATGTGTAAACGAGATTATTCTGGAGAATATTTACGCGCGATATTTAAGCCGAACTTGTCACAATAATTTTCTAGTAGTGGAGTCAGAGGAATTAATAGATAATCGCTATAATCAAAGTAGAGAAAGGCGATAAGACAGGTGTTGTTTGATTATGTATGAAGAATTACACGATTATACGATGCAATACTTTTACATAGTGTTGCATTGCGCGTGAAGGAACACAGCGGGGAAAGATCAGTAGGCTATAATCATGCTTATTTTACAGCGCATATGAAGTCCTCGGAATATGAAATAAACGTAATCTCGGTGTGTTGCAAACGCTCGCTAGATTGGATATAGCTTGCAAGTACGAATCAAACGAATTTAGTCGGCAACTTTTTTTGCGGTCAAATCATCGCGCGGCGAGATGAGTGGCGAGGGAGATTGGCTGAGAGGCTTTGGATTAAATCGGATTTTAAATATACGGCGCTAAAAGCGCGCTCGCAGGTAATGAACGAGAGACAGAGACAGAGAAAGAGAGAAAGGAAAGGATCACGAGAGAGAGAGAGAGAGAGAAAGAGAGAAAGAGAGAGAGGAGTGGGTTCGAAATTACATTATGCATGCGGCGCCAAGTACACTCGGTAATTACTCGTATTAATAGAATCAATCTCTCGCCGCACATGCCGGGATGACGTTTATTAGCGACACGTGTTCACCGTGGAGGAGGCTTTATGCAGTGTTATCTGGTACTCGGCAGTGGATGGATACGCGGAGCGTGATAACCGCGACGCATTCACTCGTGTTATTTATCGAGAGGCAGCGACGATGGCGGCGGTGGCGGCCGCGGCGAATTTTTACACGCCCGATGCACGCGCTCCTGATGCTTAATCAAAATAACGCATTTTTAATGGAGAACTTGCGAGAGTATCGGGCGGGCGCCGCGGCGCGCGTGTGCCGGAATGCTGGATGAGTCCTGGCGTTTCTCAATTTATTTTCGCATTCGCGACGTATATAAACATGCGAATTCATTATGCTTTGAAATCAGGCAAAATGATTCATCGAGACAGCCATTGAAAGCCGTGCACACTCTGACCAGCACGTTTCCGACATGAAAAGGTTGTTGGCGTTATTGACAGAAGTATTAAAACCGAAAACAATGCGCGTACTCCTGTTTTTCGCGCGCGTCCACACGGCACCGGCCGGCCCGCTTTCGCGAAGGGGGTGTATCATTCACGCAAAATCCGGCGCGGCATAAGCTATAATTAATTAAATTCAAATAAACGCGGGGTAATTTCGGCGCGACAGATCATACATTCCGGAATAGGATTACACGTGTCTCAATACTCCCTATATCCGAGAATTTACACAAGTAATTATTTCGCGAGAGTAACGCATTAACGCGTGGTCCGTTGAATGCAATATAATTGCCAACTGAAAATTGAAAAATGAATTGTATAAATTGCTATTGAATTACTATCTTGTACACTCTATGCGGATTAAAATGCGCATTAAAGTTTCAAAAGCTGGAAATTAACTTTTAATGGAGAGGTGAAAATTGTAAAAAAAAAGAAAATTTTTCTTTAGAAAAATACTCGAGTTAATTTCAATGAAGATACAAGATAATAATATCGGCAATAAATTACACAAGACCGCTAAGTGACTAACACAATTAAATCAGGATTTAATGATATTGTATGGCCAGATTTTCGATTTTCTCGGGTAGATAGGCAAAGAGGTTTCGGGATATCAGCTCTCTTACTGATTCTTTATCTGACTTTTCGGAACTTTCTTTTCCACCTTCGCTCGAAATAATCAAAAAGAGTAAGATTTATGGTGAAACTTTAAAAGGAAAGTGTAAGGTGCTATCGGAATCTTTATACATATTTAGGGAAATATGCCATTACGTGAATTGTCGAACATAAATTGTGAGAAGCATCACATATATTCTCATTATTCGGACACGATACCAGAGTCTCTTTTTTTCGAGTAAAACGTCTTGTCAGAAAATAATTACAACATTATGACAAATAAGAAATATGTGAGTGTAATACGCATAAATTTTAAGCTTTCGACGCATATTTTAACAATGTTAAAAGCAATAATAAAATGTGGGCTTTTACGTGATAAGGTGACATATTTTATAGGATGCACTGCCAAATTTACGGTTAATAAACGTACGTTTTGCTTTTCATGATTTACAGAAGACGTCTTCACGTTCTCGCCGAACAATTCGCCGGTTGCTGGAATTCATGCGAGACTGGGTTCCGTTTCAACAACTGCAATTTCGGCGCCATTCGATCGTCGCGCGTTCGTCATCGCTCCGCACACCGGTAAGTTCGACGACGCATGGGTTATACCACGTTAAACTGTCGGACGTACGAGTATATATGCGCGCTACCGTATATACATGGTACGCCGCCGCCGTCGCCCGGCTCTCGGCCGTACCAGTTTTACTGTCATTCACTTTATCGGCGAGAAAATCAGAACGCGTTATGTAGGGTATCGCGGGGGACCACAGCGATCGGCGATCAGCGCGACGATAACGATGTCGTTATGCCCGTGTCGGGTAGCTGATATACATACGAGCCGTACAAGCCGATAAACACGCGGCTAGACACTCGTCGGTCGGCGCCGTCGAAACGATTCGTCCCTTGTTAATTGTTAATTAGCACGTCCGTGCAACGAGATGAGTCCGTATGCACGCCACCGTGTGACGCCGCGAGTTTTAAGCGACTGTCGCTGGTTATACGCGCTGTCCGTTAGCTGTATCGGCGAACGATAGGAATTCGGCTCCGGCTTTAATGTCCCAAATTCATCTTGAGCCTCGAAGCGTTCGGTATTTCTCCGTGTATACTCTCCGGCGCGCATATAAACGTGCGCGTCTGATGAATTACAATATCAAGAGATGTTTGCTTGTATGAAACTGCAAATAAATTTCCCATGGATGCACTGAGAGAAAAATGTTTGGTATTTGCAACCATAATTTCATGGTAAAATAATTGTGGTTAGGAGTATCATTTTTATAGTTATTACTCCTATAACTTTAGTAATTATTATATTTATAGTTCTACCAAACAAATATATAGTTGGCGCCGAAAATGACTATATATGGCAATTACAACTATTTTTTTCTCAGTGTAGGTAGTTGTCGAAAAAAAAAACATTATAGCGATTAAAAACCGATTATAAAACGTATCCTTTTCGAACAAAAGCCGATAAAAATAAGATAACTAAATTTTTCTTTTTATTCAATTATGACTGTCGTATCATGATTTTTGCTGTTATAGCATGAAAGGGATGTGTTAAAATAATAGCTCGAGAATTTATTTTCATCGAGGAGTGTCACATATTGTTTTAAAATTGAATAATGGACATAGGCATCAGTCGTTAACATGAGAATGAGGAGTATGTGTTTCTAATACCTCGATGCAACGCCATTGTCCTCACTGTGATTGTCACGACGGAAATGACAGTGGGTACGGTAATATTATCCAGCGAATATAGCAATACAGGACGCTACTGCAGTTAGGATTTCAATAAGCTTTCTTTTATAAGCACGTCTAATTATCATACATCGTGGATGTTCGCGCCTCCGCCTTGCGAGAGGATGCGAGTATACGGCGCGCGTGACGGTAAGCAAACACGGCGGCACACTTCGCGATTTTAAAAGCGTCTTTCCCCTGCTGTCCGCCACGTTGAAATACAGTTTATACGCCGTATTCGCACCTATACGTGCTCGAGCGTCGAGTAACACTCGCGTTTCCCACCACAGGATATTATATTGTCGTTCATGGGGGACGCGCGAGGTAAACGCGATTCTTGTATACCGACGAATTTTTGTAAGTAGGTATACACGAAGTTGCGAAGTAATGGAAACGCACGACTGTGTCTCGCGCCTCGGTGAGAGAGAGAACACCGCGACCGCGTCTCTATGTAAATTTTATTTTGCACGAAAACGGAGGGATTATATATATATATATATATACGAGTCGAGATTAACGGCCTCTCCTTTTTTGGCGAGCGTGGGATAAGCGTCCGCGCGAGATCGTATAGTTGGTCCAGAAACTAGTTACTTCGGCGGTTACGCCGAACAAACAGGGAAGATGGGTAGCTGCGGGACTCGTGCGTAACTTTTATTATTGTCACGCTCGATTACGTGTGCGGATGGAAAACGTGAAGATCCCGTAACGGAGGTCCCGTAAACAGAGAAAAATAATTAGCAATAAAAGTTTACCAGTCACGTAATGCGGGAAATACCATTCCCCCCCATCCTTCCCTCCCTCTCTCTCTTTCTCTCCTTCGTATAATAAGTCTCTATAGGTAAAAATACCCGCCGCGCCAATGCAATGATGAAACAGTGGGAACTCCAATGGGGCTCGATCGCTTATTCCGTGGCACGGATGACATTCGTGCGTACGTCGTTAATACAATTTTCCGTATGCGGAATTGACCGCGGCGTTGATTTTCGCGGAGTCCGATTTTACGAGCGACCGAAATATGAAATGAAATCGGTGCTCTGACCACTACCGTTGACCCGCGTAACGTACACGGCGCGTTGAAAATTCGATTCTATATAAATAATGTTGCCAATAATGTTAAATCAGAACGCACGTGGTTCGCATGCTGCACTTTTACGACACCGGATGGGGAAATATCCAGGCACACTGACGATCACTTTTACACAACAACGTCAACGGTCCGCAGGAATGCCGTGTCGTTGCCACGAGCGCGCGCGCGATCTGATTAAAATCGGTGCTACGGTGATATTATACGGTGGTTATTAACGAACGTGCCCTCTCTTTCCCGCCAGAAAAACCGGACGCGTTTACCTCGGAGATACTTGCCGCGACTATTACTTCTAATTATTAGTCGCGCCAATAACCTTTAATTTACGAGCATATTCGAAGCGCTGCAGTGTTTACGAGCCTTTAATTGATAAGATTTACGATTAACATCTGGCCTTCTAAAGCAAATATGCGCATTCCGATAGATCGCGTTTAATTAAAGAAACAGAATGACATAACTCGAAGCACTGTTTTGTACGTCCGCAATATGTATTTCGATATTTGTGTCCGAATAGTGGCGCGCACGCGTGCACACAACGCAATGCATATTTTGTCAGAGATAAATTCCGTTCGATTGTTTCGTCGCGAGCGAGTTTCGTTTCGACTAATTGTTCTGCGGAGCGCGGCAAAAGTGCGCGTTCTCTCGTCGGGACAGTGTCGTGAGGTTGCGGTCGGTGTTACGGTGTCCATTCGTATACGCTATTGTATTTTCACGAGATAAATTCTCTTTCGCGCTGTCTCGTTGATGGCGACGGTTAACGGTAGTCCGTGAACAATGAAACGAAACGTAAATGCGCGGTCCGAGAGGTAACGCGCGCCCTTGCAGTAACGATGCCGAGCGAATTGGCCGGCCTGTCGACCGGCGCGGCACGGCGGTACGTCGTGTCGCGCGTAACAAAAACAATATTGAAAAATTCGTGCTTAATGCCTTGTGCAAAATTACCGTGCCACGCTCTCACAAAGGTGGGACCGAGGAGACGTGTGTGTCGACCTACCGTGTGGAATAAAAAGCTCATTTCCGCTCTGCGCTCGTGCGCGCACGCGCGCGCGCGCGCGTCGACGCGCGACGTGCCTCGCGCTTGCTGCGGAACTTTTCGTGCCGAGCGATCGTAAACCTGGCTTAAATTAAAGCCACGGACTTTTTTTTTAACGTTCCCGTCGCGTCGCGATGCGAGTCTGATTTACTCTTCTACGCTTTTCCTTCTCGTTCGTTTTTTAATGTGTTTTTTTTGTGCCATGCGCCCGGATTTAAATTGCACTTAGCGTTGCGCTCGTTTGACGAACGACGTCGCGGTGTCGAATTTCGCGAACGAAGATCGATTGATTTGCCGACGTAAAAGGCTGGCAGGATGCAGCGAGATTTATTCGCGCGAAGGCTATAGGAAAACACATCGTTATAGCGAGTAATGTAGCATAACGTAAAACATGGTATGCATCTTTGAAAATAATTCTATTTGACAAAAAATAATTTTCTGATGATGTGTCAATTACACCTTTCTCTTATCAAATATATTTATCAGAAAAATAGGTATACAATTAATTTTCGTCAAGCTTGTTATTTCTACACAAAATATTTTTGAAACGCGAGGGAACGAGTACACGTGTGTGAAGTATAATTATATATACTTATTTTTATGACGAGCATTATCACACACCGTTGAATATTTACCGTTAAATTCGATGATTGACGTAGAGTGAAGAATGTCTGGCCATGATAAAACGCCAGATTAATGGGAATCGAAGAACGGACCACTCGATTTTCTATTCTATCATTTACATATGGACCAAGTTTGGTTGAAGCCGACTGCAAACACAAGCCTCATTTAGAGTGGTCACTTTCGAAAGCACTCAGCCGCGTGGCTCTCGAAAACGCACCATGAGTCCGCATGCCGATAAATCGAGTCCTGATAAAATGCCATCGATCGCAGTGGTTGCACGGTGGTAAAGCTATTATACGTAATAGTTACACGCTATGGACTAGACATGAGTATATCTGATATCTATTATAACGATAATAATTTGTCGAATAATAATTATAATTTTGTCCTTCGATGAATGCATGATGTCCAATTGTGCCAGAAACAATCAGACGTGTGTGGGCGCGCGCGCGCGCGTGTGTGTAACTAATTAAAATACGTCATGTATAATTTTGTGTAAAATCGATACGTTCGTAAAATGAGAAGAGCGATTTTACGTAAGAGAATTCAGTCAGAATATCTAAGACACTCTCTGTTGTAACGAAATCTCTCATCGCCACGGAGACAGGAAAGTGTTACGGCGTTCTTCTAGTGTTACTTCCACCGTCGCTTCGATCACACGTCCGCGAAGAATGACGCAACCAGGATTAAAAATTCTGTATACGTAGTCGTGGATAAAATCGACTTCGCTCTCATGTAACAAACGGCCTCGATGTAAATAGGCGATATCCTCCTTAGGATCCAAGTCACTTTGGCGGTACGATCGTGTTTGAAGATGCCGTGTCGATGTTGAGTCGTCGATGCCGCGCAAGTAATCAGCGAAACGCTTCGTATTCTTCCTGCTTCTAATATTCCCGAGACGTGCGTCGACTCCTCTCTCTCCTCTCTCTTTCTCTCAGAGACCACCAAGATCGCTGTGGTACCGGTTCTCCGCCGGGTTATTACGAGGCAGCTTCTCACTAACCGATGATGCTCGAGCAACGGCAGCACGAAATTCTTCGGTGCACCGTGTGAACACGCGCGATGGACGGACGGAAGAATTGAGAAACGCCAGCCGGTCGTC